TATGTCAAACGTGTGCATACTGCTAAGTTTAGTAAGATGAATTTATAAGTTAAACAGTTCTCCCACCTTGTGGTTAAATTAAATATTACTGCTAAGACTTTTATACAAAGTAGTTTACTTCTAATCTATATTATATAGAATGCTTAACTAACAATCTTATTTTTAATTGGAGCAATAAATATACATGAGCAAAGTAATAATAAATAATTATAATAAGAAAAGTCTGAACTGATGTTATTTCCTTTGTGTATGTGCGTGCGTGTTTTAGAAGCAGGATAGAAAGAGTATTGGTACTTTTGAACTTTGGGTTGGAAAAGACTCCTGAGAATATCATGGATAGCCAAGAAAAGAAACAAATAGATTATTGAATAAATCTATCCAGATTTCTCACTCGAGGACCTCAAATGACCAGGCACAAATTATCATATTTTGGACAGATTAGTGAAGTTCTAGCTCTCTTGAGGCCTCCATAATGCTCGGATAGGTAGCAGGAAAGAGAAGAAGGCAGCCAGCAGCAGGTGGATGGATTTAATTCCAACAGCACCATTGGAAAGGCGAAGTTGGGGACAAATCTTGAAAAAATTATGTAGTAGCTAAGAGTCAACATCGACTTGATGGCATATAATATTTAAAATGTTTTATCAGTGGACTTACATAATATTAATAGTGGAATGGATTATAGTTCCATATCTATTAGAGCTTCAGTATTCTATGCATCTTACCAGCAACTAGAAAAAATAGAGTTTTATTAATAACTTAAATCCAATAAAATAATATCGGTAGATAGGACATGAAAGCTAGATATGTTGTAGGAAAACTGAAGAGTGCTGTGTTGCAGTATGATGCTTTTTAAAACAAGATCTTTTCTGTGATACATAGATGACTAACCAGTCATCTAATTTTCTGATTATCAGAAGCAGGGAAATTGCTTACCTTGTATATCACTGAGTTTACACATTGCCCTAAGTGTAATTTGGCTTACTGTAATGTGTGAACCCAGCCTTTCCGATTTGTAAACCATGACTTACAATTTAGCACAATGTATGAACCCAGACATTTGTAACTTATTCAACAATTTTTAGTTAAATAAATCACAACTTAGCATGATGTGTGAAAAAGTCTGTGTGTCTTGGTGGGTGTGAAGCTACATAAGCTTCAATTTATTTTAAATAGACTGGCATGTTTTTGCTGAGTTAATCTGAATAAAGCAGTTCCTTTATTTTTTATTAGTGGTTTTGCAGTTATGACTCCTATCTGTAGTTTTATCCACTATTAGCTCCTACTTCCAATATTTTAATTACTGTTGAGCTCCCACATAGCCAGCACTGTCTCCCAGATTTGTCCATCTGTAGCTCTTTCAACAGCTTAGTTTGCATTCTTTCTGAATCTGACATTCTAGTCAAAGTTACTCCACTCTGATTCTTCTCCATTCATTTCTGATCATTGCTGTGTTCTCTTGAAGTCTTCTGGATAAAGCACAATTCCAATACTTGTGTCAGATATTACATAGATTATCTGACACTATAACCAGAGGTTTTGAAGCACCAGCAGTATTGATAGGCCCAGGTCATTAATGAGAAAATACCAGTTCCTAGCAGTCCATGTCATTTCAGAACTGCTGAACTGCTAATATACTGCTGTCTTGGGTTTGTAGGGAAGGTATCTACTCCCACCAGAGTGTGTTTGTGGCCTTGTGTGCCATCTACTAGGAACCCATTACAGCAGAGGATTGGCATGATTAGCATGATTTGGTAAAGAAGCCCATGTACAGAAGATATAGGATACTAGCGCAAACATTATGTTGGACTGTACAGTTTGAAGAAAGGAGCTGTGCTCCTTGAGGCAAAGGCAGTCATCTTTCACTGTTGAGTTAGGACAACCTAAACAAGAACCTAGAAGTCCTTTTTCTGAGCCAGTCTCAGCCCACACTATTTGTAGGAAGCAGAAACACTGCTCTATAGGCTCTTAAGAAAGAATATTGCTTCTCTCCTCTGTTATCCTTCAATAAACCATGACCTGATGAGGCTTTCACATCAACTGTTTTGTGTATGTGTGTGTGTGTGTGTGTATGATTGCAGAATAGATAGCACTGTTGAAATTGAAGACTGCCATTTTCTTTTTTATGTTCATTGACTATTTCATCCTCCAGTTCTCTAATTGTTTAATCTTTTCCATGCATCCTTGACTCTGAATACTGGTTGTTCTCTTAAGGGATCAGCTCCAAGACCATCTCATGTATTAATGGAGGATAAGTATACACTGAATTTCCTGTTCATAGACAATATTTCTTGATTTATCAAGTCCCCTACTTTTGAGGCTCTCAGAAGTATCAAGCTGGCTCCTACTAAAGAAGAACAGGAGACTGAGAATATCAGGGAATTGCTACAATCCTGAATACTATCTCGGCTAGGGCTGCAAAATGACAAATGGGAAGGAAGGGATGGGCAACTCATGACTGAAACTTCTCTGTAGATGCCCTAGTTCTTTACTGAGTTAAGGGGCTCCACCTCTTTATTTTTAAAGAAGTCTTAAAAACACATTTGTTGAGTAAGTTTTTAATTACTGACCATTTCATTCCATTGTTAATACTGCTGTTGTTAATGTGGTTATTTTGATTTTGTCTTTTAACTGCAAGCCACCATAAAACCTAATAAATAATAATCAAGTGACAATGCATAGCTGCTGTGGTTGTCTTCCCCTTTCTAGCACTGCATCTCTCTACATGTCTTCCAAATACTGTTGCTTGAATTTTGGTTCCCTCTGTTCCTCTCCTCTGCTTTCTACACACAGAAAAAATAGTGATCCCTGCAGATGGCAAGGTTTCTGTTGGCAAGGGCTAGGCACTCAGCTCCAACACAAACACTTAAGCTTTACAGGGACACAGCCTGGATATATGGAGCTCCCCAGCCTTTACACACATTACAACTTCTTGGATGGGGAGAAAGGTGAAATACAAGCAATATTGGCTCTTTGCTGTAGAAGTTAAAATTCAAAAGAATAGAATTACCCAGAAAGTTCTTCAAGCTCTTTTCTGCACTCTTACACAGTTGCAATCACCTTAGGAAGAACAAGTGCTTGTTTCCCACAAATACAGAATCTATCCCATGTCCTATTGAGTGAGAGCAGCCCATCCTATGACCAGCATCAGTAATCTAGCTGCTCTCAGCTTTTGATCCTCAGACAGAATTCACATGTACCAAGCTAGTTTAACCATGCCTACAAACTGGATTCACACACACACTAAGCCAACAAAATACATTAAAGCTTACCAAAATATGAACCACATATGATAGCTTATCCAATAAGTTATGGTCGAAACCAAGTATGCTTCAGTTCATCTAGACCCAGTGTTGTAGAAATTTGACTTAATACTTTAATGATTAATACAGTTAATACTTTAATTAGGTAAAGGTATCAATTTTCTACAACACCAGAAAGCTATTTAATCCATACATTCTTGTATACATGCAGTTAGGTTGTGTGTGAGACTCTTCTATCTTCCTTAGTGTCCGGAGTCCTCTACATTCAAACTTGAATGGAGAATGGGAGCTGCTGCTCTGTCTAGGTAGGGTTCCTCCTATATCCCTATTTTATTGTCTTTTGCTGTAATGTTTGCAGTGTAGACTTGAGTCTGGAAAGCTCTCCTTCTTTTGAGGCATTTTTTTTTCCTTTTTCCCTTGTGTATCCCAAACTTTCCTCACCTGCATCTGTTTAGTGAATAACTGGATGTTGCTGGTATCTGTGATTGAACGCACATGTCATACCAATGATGCACGCATTCACCAAATTTATTCAACTACATTTACTGAATAACCTCCAACTAGATTCACACGATACTGTGCCATAGTGTACTCTACATTGCAGTTTGCTTAACCATAGTTTATTGAATCAGCCATGCTGGAGAGGCTTGCATAAATTAAGCCAAAGTTTACAAATCACAATAGCCAACTTCATACCTGCTAAGCCATAGAAAAGCCAAACATGTTTTGGTTTAATGAACTATATTAACCAGCCTCATGCTATTTGCTTTGATTTTGTGTAATGTGTGAACTGAGTCTATAGACTATAGTTAAAAGAAAACATTGGCTTAGTGCAACAAACTAGGCCACTATGCGTCTTTGCCTCCATTTGTTGCCCCTCGGCAGAAAACCTTTTATTTCTCTGAATAAATCTTGAAACCCTAGCCTAGGAGGGCTGAGCATATTTCATGCAGTCTTCAGCTCTCCCCAAGGTCTGTGGGTGCTGCAGGAACAGCTTTTGTACAAAACACAAAAGGGGTCCTGTGGCATCTGAGTTCCCCATTAAATCCTGAGGAATAGGCAGGGCGCTCCAACCCTCAGTCCAACGAGGTCAGGTGTGGAAGATGTCGATGTCGAGCATCGTCTGGCAAAGAGCTCGCGGAAGGGGAAGTCTGCTTGCTAGAGGACCACGAGGGAACCTGGCCTTCCAGAAGGTGCTGAATGACTCCAACAGAACCTTGCAGATCTGATTCTCTACTTTATACTTTTCCATATTTTGAACTGGCTGCACGGTCCGTAAAATACTTGCTTTCCACCCTGTCTATCTATTGGACCGTCACATGAAAAACGTCTGGTTCGTTTTGTTCTTTGTTTTATAGCGGCTGCACAAATCAAAATTCCCAACTGTTGATAACACGTGGCAAACTATTCTTCGTAACCCCTGAAGCTGCCAAGAAAAAAACATTTTCCAGCCACGCTGGCGGCCGGGGGGGGGAAAAACGGCTTTTGCTTCTCCGCTCGCGGTACAAAACGCGAGCAAGTCAGAAAGCATTCCCTAGACTCCGTAATTACGAACTTCAGTGACGCGCGCCATAACATTAACTCAAGACAACCTTCCTGTTCTCAAAGGGTTTGGGGAATTGTAGTCCTAGAGAAAAGTGTAGTCTCCGAGATGTTAAGAAGCTTTAGTGCGTTTGCGCAGACGTACGGCCTTAGTAGCGGTTACCGGTGCGTGGCAGGAACCGGAAGGAGGCCGGGAGGGTGGGGCTTCGATCGACTGACGTGTCTTTCTGAGGGAAGAGTTGGAATTTGTGCTGCTGTTTGGCCCTTCCTTTTCCGTGTTGAGGGCTGCCGAGATGGGGAGTGAGTATCTCTGGCCGGTGATGTTGGCGCTTGGGAAGGCCGATGGTGGAGCGGAGTGGCGGGCGAGGGGGCGAGCGAGCGAGCTGGCCGATCGTCGGGATAGCCTCGAGGGGGAATGAGAAGCGGCCTCAAGCGGGGGGGGCGGGGCGGGGGGGGGGGCGGGGGGGCGGGCGGGGGGGGGGGCGGGGGGGCGGGCGGGGGGGGGGGCGGGGGGGCGGGCGGGGGGGGGGGCGGGGGGGCGGGCGGGGGGGGGGGCGGGGGGGCGGGCGGGGGGGGGGGCGGGGGGGCGGGCGGGGGGGGGGGCGGGGGGGCGGGCGGGGGGGGGGGCGGGGGGGCGGGCGGGGGGGGGGGCGGGGGGGCGGGCGGGGGGGGGGGCGGGCGAGCTGGCCGATCGTCGGGATAGCCTCGAGGGGGAATGAGAAGCTGCTTCAAGGGGGAGCGGAGGGAAGGGAGGGACGATCCGTTATGGGGTGGGGAACTTGAGGGTGAAAGACGCGAAATGGCGGCTTCGCAGGTAGCGGGTGTCCCGCCTGTAGATGCAGGAAGACGATGGTTTGAGGACAGTCTGTGGAGCTGCAGGATCACCACCGTGAATGGTGGTCGCCGTGTGAGTTCGGTAGGCTGTCAGGCCCTCGGCTTATGGGGCCAGCGGGTCTTGGGAGGGCTTTTTGGCAAGACAAATGCTGCGGGGGGGATTTCCTCGGGGTTGAACGGTGAGTACTCCTGAGACAGTACTAATCGAACAACTGAGCCTAGTTTCCTTATCTTGCAAAAGTGGGAAGTATTTCCTGAGAAAATGGACTAAGTTCAGATTTTAATCAGAGCCTATACATAAGATTCTTGTAAGTCAAATCCGAGTTTTGAAATATTGTGTGGGTCACAAATAAAATATGCAACTATATAAACAAATAAAGGATGCCTTTATTTCTTTATAGTTCACAATATATAGAAATAGGGTTACTCTTGTGTCTTGACATGGTTGTAGTAGCAAACAGAAGGACTTTTCTTCTGCATCTCTGAGTACAACTTTTTTGCATATGTTGAAACTTAAGTGACAATTATTCACAGAAAATGACACAATGACCATCCTGCTTGACCATCTATGTAGTGATGTCAGTCTTGTGCTTCTTTCAGAAGACATGAATCCCACACAAAATGTGCTTCTTTGGTTCCCTCTGACAATGTCTTGAAACAAGCTAGTAGATTTTTTCCCCAGTGAGTTGTATTTGAGCAGGTTTTATGTTAATGTGAAATGTTATCCAAATGTATTACACCACAGCTATTATGAAATGTGCTGATCGCTCCTATATTGATATACTAAATACTACTCATATGTTCTCTTACAATTTAAATTTCTTAGGATTTTAATCTGCATTTGTTACTGTCAGCTTCCTTTTATCATTTAGAAGTAGACCAAAGAAAGCTTAATAATATACCTCATGTAGATTCATATTATCAGCAATGCATCTGTATTTGCTTGTATGATAAGCACAAGGTGACCTGAAGGAAGTCCTGCAGTTTTAATGTTTGTGCAGTAATGCTAAAATTAACAGCAGTCATCACAATGGTCTTACAAATTGTGCTTGTTGGGAAATTAAAGAGAATGCAAATTAGATTTGCCATTGTTATTACAGACTTCTTGCTTAGGCAGTGTTTTGATTGACTTTGATTTCAGAACACAGTTCTATAGATGTTTGTTTTAGTAGAGGTAGTTACTTAATTTCTATATGATGTGATGACCTTCCAGTGATTTCTGTTCAAGTACAAAATTGGACTACTTTCTGCCTCTTGAAGATTCATGGGATTAGGCATTATGTGTCTATCTGCCCAAATCATTGTCAATATGTGATTTACTCAGGATAACTGTATAGATTAGTGATTGGTAAATTTTGAACAAGCTAAGATTTTTATTTTTGATTAATCTTCTTTGTCAATTAATGAATGTCTGCTAATTTCTCAAAACTTTCTTTACAGTTAAATTTCTTGAAGTAATCAAGCCTTTCTGTGTTATCTTGCCAGAAATTCAAAAACCGGAAAGGAAGGTAATGTATGCATTATAGAATTCTGGTTTTGCCACAATATTCATAACAGTCTAATAACAAAAGAAACATTTATTTTGTAAATATCCTGTTTTTTCAAATGTTATCTCCCAAAGCTATTCATATCAACTAAACCTCTAGGCTGTTTTAACACTTTCTTTTTTTAGAAAAAGAAACAGGAACACAATAGTAGGGTTTGAAAGGAAAGGTAGAAAGGAGTATTTGGCAAATGATGATAGTGTGATTAACTGGAAAAAGACATGTTTATTCTCTAGTTTGGATAAAGTTGCTGCAACTGACTGCATCATTTGCTTGACGGCAGAGCCCAAGGTACACGTTTCTCATTTTTATGAAGGATAACTGGCAGAATTAAATGTTGCTTCTGGAAGAAGGGAGGGGAAGCAAGCTGTCTGTAACTTCTTCTTTTTTTGCCAGTTAATGGAGTCAGTTGGTTTTCATTTTGCCATAATATCCTGCCTGAAAGGCACCAGGGAGCTGCTCTTCTAGTGCTTCCTGCCCAGTAGTATAGGTGGAAAATACACTGGATACAACTTTTGACAACATTTACTATATAGCAGTTTACTCATAGATACTAGCATTACTGTGCCTCTACTTGTGATTTCTAACTGGGCGAATGTATGAATTCATTCTATGATTGTTACCAATAATTTCTCTAGGCTCAACTGAAGAATAATTTTAAGTGGAAAAATCCATTTTTACCAAAGTCCTGCTCACGTTCTCTGTTAACCTGTTTTTGTTTTAGTAAAAGCAGCATGGAAGTGCTGGGAATTTAAACGTATTAAACATATTCCATTTCTGGACTCCAAATTATTGGGAGACATCCATTGTCATATCACAGCAATTTTCATCCAGGAGGTCCCTCAGCCTTCTATTTAGCATTTTTGGAGAGCTGCCAGGGGAAAAAGGGAATGAGGAATTTAGCTTCTTGAAACTCGTGTACAGTGTTAAGTGTGTTTCCCATGGTAATTTCATGCTTTATTCAAGCCAAATGTTGGCAATGACAATTATTTTCACAATTTCATCCCTTATTTTAGATCCAATTTAAAGAAAAGGTGCTATGGACAGCTATCACTCTCTTCATCTTTTTGGTTTGCTGCCAGGTATTTTCACTTTATTACTTCAAACCTTTCTTTAAAACCAAAACTGGAGACCCAAGCCTATGATAATTTTACTTACTTTTTTTTAAACTCAGATTCCCCTGTTTGGTATTATGTCATCGGATTCAGCTGATCCCTTTTATTGGATAAGAGTAATTCTGGCTTCCAACAGAGGTATGGAAGTCCTTTTTAACAATTGATTTGTTGCTAAATTCCATCTATTTCTATTATGTAGCAATTTGGGTTTCTCCTTTACTTAAATTAAGCACTTTGAGTTCCCACTGACTTCAGTAGTAATGAGTATCCTGTTTAAATCAGTGGGACTTAACTATGTATTCTTTTGATTTGGATATTGTAATTGTGAAATGGGATTTTGGAGGTTGGCCATAATGATGCTATAATACAATATAGAAGATAGTAGCATATTTGGGATCATTTTAAAGCAGTTCACATGTATTATTTCACTAAAGGTTGGAAAAGTTCTATAGTGTAGGCTAATTTTGCCATCGTTGCCATTGGGAATGGGGCTGAAATATTGATTGACTTAAGGGTAAGAAAAGATTGGGAATTTCCATTACTTTGTGTCGCTCAGTGTTATATGAGAGCCAGTTTGTTGTAGTGGTTAAGGCACCAGGCTAGAAATCAGGAGACCATGATTCTAGTCCCGCCTTAGGCATGAAATCAGCTGGGTGACCTTGGGCCAGTCACTCTTGCTCATTCCTAGGAAGAAGGCAGTGGCAAACCACTTCTGAAATCTTGCTAAGAAAACTGCAGGAGTCAACGCTGACTCAAAGGTGCATGTGTGCATGGACACACACAGAGTATTATATGTTTTTTTAAAGCATTTTAGACAAAGGATATACCAAAGAGGTATATAAACTCTCTAATGAAATAAAACTTTTGCCATTGGGCTTATAACCTGAAAGACTATAAGAGGGATTGAAAACAGTTTTTAGTTTTAAAAGTTCATATTAATAGCCAAGTGGACTGTATGGAATTGAAGGAAAAGATGAAACAGAAGTTGCTGGTATCTCAGCAGAGCTAATAGAGGCTTGCTTTCCTTTTCTCCCTGCCCTCAACCTGAAAAACAGCAGCTTGTAGAGGGCATAGTCCAGCAAAGCTCTCATCTCTGCAGGGCAATACGCTTGAAATATACATAGAGGGAAAGTCGGTAAGGATAATATAATACTAGCTCATATATATTTAGCTGTCTTCTGCAATTCACTTAAAGCAGATTTCTTTTTGTGTTATATATCATCTTAAACATTTTATTTACTCTTTAAATTTGTACTCCCACTTTTCCTTTTTTCTGTTATTAGTTGAAGTGCAAATTTCTAGACAGTTGAAAAGTGTATTAGAAGCATTCAAAGTACTTTGCAGTCATTCCTATAAATTTTGATTTGCCTGGAAATAGTATTAACATGTTTGCAGAATCTTTACAATCAGCATTTTCTATATGTTTAAAAAGCTGGATCAATTTATTATGCTTCAATAGGTTGGAAAACACTGTTTCTAAAGAATGAGGCTTACTCATTCTTCAAAATGAGCTGTAGCTTTAGCTCGCCTTCCTAAAGCAGCTTTTCATAATTTGACAATATAACAGAATGATGTTTTGTTGTAAAATGGCAAAGAATGAAGTTCAGTTGAAAATCTGAATGCTTTCCCCATCTTTACATCGACTTGAGATGGCCAGTTATCTGTGTAGTGCTGAGCAGGAAAGGATTGGCAGATCCTATGTTTCATTCCATTTTTGATTTCCAACAGGCACACTGATGGAGCTAGGCATTTCTCCCATTGTCACATCTGGTCTCATCATGCAGTTACTGGCTGGTGCCAAAATAATTGAAGTTGGGGATACACCAAAAGACAGAGCTCTCTTCAATGGGGCACAGAAATGTAAGGAACAGGAAACTTTAAACAATTTGCATTCTAGTTTATGCAGTGGATAACATGAATTGACCTCTTAGGAAATTTGGAATATTAAATTACATTCAGTATTTTTTTTTTGTCTTGTAATTCTATTCCAGTGTTTGGCATGATTATTACTATTGGCCAATCTATTGTTTATGTAATGACTGGGATGTATGGAGACCCATCAGAGATGGGAGCAGGAATCTGTCTCCTTATCACCATTCAGGTAACTTTTAAAATATTAAACTGCTTCTGAATGTAGACATATGATCTGTAGACACTTGAAGTTTAAAAGATTGAAACCAGACCCTCTTGCAAACTTGCTTCTCCCAGCCCTTTCTCTGCAAGAATGTTAAATGTTCTTGATAGACATCTGGAAGTTTCCATCTTAGACAGGAAATTTCCTATAGAAGATTCACATTTCTGGGTATATTAATTTCACAACCAAAGAGCTGAGATTTATAGATTTCACAAGTGTATATTTACCCTTTCAGTAATGTTATGTTAAAATTTAAGAGATCTAATCAACTTGGTTGAGGAACATCTTTGAAATATAAACATAGTACCCAAAAAGGGTACTTCATATGAATTACTAAGTGATCTCCATAGGCAAGAATTTACAGAAATTGCTGCCCCTATTTAACTGTTTCTGTATTGTTTTTAATTAATTATTTTTAATTTAAGTGATTGGTCTATTATTCATTCGTCCTTGTAGCTTTTTGTTGCTGGTTTGATAGTTCTTCTCTTGGATGAACTTCTGCAAAAAGGTTATGGTCTTGGCTCTGGTATTTCCCTCTTCATTGCTACTAACATCTGTGAGACTATTGTATGGAAGGCATTCAGCCCAACTACAGTGAACACTGGCCGAGGTAATCATATTCTCTGAAGAGACATATATCAATTCCTCTGTTGATGAACTGATTGCCCCTGTGTGGATAGGATTCTAGGTGAATCGGGGCTACTGAGAAGCAAGAGGGAGTTACTGGTATGCTTGGGAGGAAACAGAAAATACCTAAGGTCTTCCTACTTGTCCAATATCCAGTGGCACAGTATATTGAGTATCAGCTGAAGAAGAAAAATGCAAGTTAGTAAGGATAAGGAGCAGTGTACTGGTTTGCTTGAGTTCTTATTTGTTATAGTATCTTTGAGGAAGCCATTGGTGCCTGAACCCTGAACACTTCTATGAAAATGTTTGTTTCGCAGTAGATTCCACTTGTTTTGCAGTTCATGCAACAATTGGCTGGCTGGGAAAGTTTGTATCTCTCATCCTGAAGGTTTATTAGCAGTGCTGTAGTCATAGGAAGCCCAGGGAGTTTTAAGTGAGTGCTTGCCTTCTGTATGCAAAACCAAGTGACAGAGCATTTGTTTCTCTATTTTAAATCCATGTTTTAGAAGGCTGCCTCTGTGAAAGTCCTCAGCAGTTTCATCTCATGATTTGCACTGATGATGTTTGAAGTTGCTTACAGAAAGATGAGAAAATATAGCCCAGAAACAGGAAATATATTATAATACAGGCTTAGGTATTATATTTGTGTGTAAGGAAACTCCATTCCGTTGAGTGAATATAGCATACTGCTAATCACGTTTGCTCCTTACTGACTACTCTGTGAATTACACTTCAGCATGAGTGGGTTTTTTTCCCCCAAATATATTTTCCCCAGCACTTGTACAGATGAAACTCCTCAGTGATGCATGTATAGTTTGTTTTAATTATGGTTTATTGAACAAGTAATTGTTGCCTAGTTCACATAGAAGCCCCAAACCATGCAAGCCACAGTGGCTGGTTTCATACATGGTAGGGAACCAAAATATGCACACTATATTATTGCATAGTGTTTTAAGTAAAACAGCTATTTTTTACAGGAAATGGTTAGCAGTATGCAGTGGACCAATTTTGTGTGGATCAGGAATGCTGGAAAAACAGCTTCAGTAATCATGGAATGTATTTATCCCCAAATATATTTACAGTTCTTTTTCAGCCTCTCACAGAGGGCACTTATTTCTGTATGATTTGACGCTCTACCTTTGAAGGTGATGGAGGGGAGATTTTACGTCCTTTATCAAGAACACTTTGTGTATCCCCAGACACAGAGGTTGAAAAAAATCAGACATTTTCTGAGATGCCCCTTGTACGATACCTAGCAGCTAGTGTTGATTTCCTCAGTTATTAGTATATTCAGATTGGCCCCAATAAGAAACTCTGCTTTACCTACTAAGAGACTAGTTTAGAGAAATCTCTACAAATGCTGCAAAATTCTGCATCATAGCAGTCACAATTAGAAGACAATACTCATGTAGCTTTACAGGCCTTTTGTTGCTTTTTACTGTTATTGTTACTAACATTATTGTTGCTATTTTACTTTTTCTCTTTTTTATATTTTCTTAACCTGTCTGTGTTTTCAGTTTTAGATAATTTCTTACTGTCCTTTTAATCTGATACTGTAAATTTAATAAATAAGTAAATGGAAATTGCTGCTGGTTTTACAGTGTGATTTACATTAATATTAGTATTCACATGACTAAGGAAACTGTTGGGTTTTAATCTCATTTTTAGAGTATGAATCAATCTTGTTAGGAATAATTGGAGTATATGGGATATACTAAACTAGTATATTACCAGCTTTCATAGTAAATAATTTTTTATTCACCTGTTCATTAAAGGCATGGAGTTTGAAGGAGCCATCATTGCCCTCTTCCATCTTCTGGCTACTCGCACAGATAAAGTTAGAGCTCTCAGGGAAGCCTTCTACCGGCAGAATCTCCCAAATCTTATGAACTTGATTTCCACCATATTTGTCTTTGCTGTTGTCATTTATTTCCAGGTATGTAGAAGTTTGGAATGGTGATTTACAATTTAACTTATTTGTATATTCTATTTATGCGTGGAGAGGTGTTTGTTTATTAAGGTCATAAATATTCTGATGAAATGCTTATTAATACATCACCAAAATATGAAGTATGAATATTTCCACAAGGTTTATTGGAGAAATGTAAGATGTAGATTAGAATTGATATTCTGTTAATCTGAGTTTATACTGATGATTCAAAATCTTATGCATTGTCCAGAGTTTATCAATACTGTTAAACCTTGTTGATGTAAAGATAATTTCACTTTTAAAAAAAGAATAAATTTGTTTGTAAGATGTTATTTTAATCTAGCTACCGTATTTTTCCAACTATAAGATGATACTTTTTTCTAAAATCCTTACGCTAAAAATTGAAGGGTGTCTTATTCAAGGAAGTCATCCAAGGAGAGAACCATGCGGTTGCAAAACTGCCCATACTTTGTTTCTGCAAAGAGGCTTCCTCCTATTGCTAGCCTCCAATCACGAGT